ATACCTTTCTAAATATATACTGGTTTAATAAAAATTTGTGTGTGTGGTTCAAACAGTTATTTTTCACATAGGACCAATCTGTCAATTTATTTATATCAATAAATAGAAAGGAAGACAAATTTAATACATAAAACTGTGCTATAAAACGTAAATATCAAAGACATTTGGGACATATTCTCTCCCCTGATCCTCTCCCAACTCCTCTGCAGTAGAGAAGGTAGAGAGAGACAGGTAGGTTGGGGACATGGCCAAAGCATGCTCATCCCCAGCTGGCAAAGTCTCTTGGGCATTGTTCCCAGCTGGCATACATTAGTGTAGCACTCTGGCTGCTCTAATCTATTTTGAATTAGGATGGAGCCAGGCAGAACATCAGAGAGTCATAATAGGTTCCTTGTCAAGACAGCTCTCTCGGCTGTGCATAATCTGAGCACAGAATTTGGCTGATAGTTCTCATCTTGCTATGAGAATTTACGTATAGTGTCTTGCACACTACCATGAGATTATTCAGTTAAATTATTCTTCTTCACAGCCTGTATTTCTGTTACACTACTGATAATGTCAATAATCCTTTCACTTGTACTATAAATAATTATTACATTTTTTGAACCAGCAGGAAAAAAGCCCTACTTTTTTGTATTAAAGGGGGATTATGGTTATAGGACAATATAGCACACTGTGAAATTGGCAACATAAACGATTAAAAAAGTCCACTTTCAAATTAGTCTACTGCTGCAAGTGAGTTTTGTTTTTATTATTTTCCAGTCTGTAGTTTTGAAAGTGAATTTTAAAATAAATTTGTAAATATAGATCTTCTTTAGAAAGCAGATTTATGAGCAATACTATTTATGGAATGAGTGTATCTAAATGAGGTATGTCCTCGGGTAACTCCAGTGTAGCATCTCTGACTTTGCCATATCAGTCTTACCTGGTTAGGGAAAGCTTTTGCCTTTTGCCACTCTAATTATCTGTCTTGAGTCTTGCATTATACCATCAGTATGACCTTTTGTGACATGCCCCCTTTCATAATCCCAGCCCAAACAATTGTGCAGCCACCATGTATACCATGCAGAGCCATTCTGCTCTCTCAAGTTGTTCAAATCTACTTTAAGTTATATAGGTTTATGTATCACATAAGTAGAAACCAGATGATTTATTATCTGTCTATGATATTTCTATGGTCCCTATCTCATTAGTATTTAAGGACTGGTCTACATCTGAAACTTAGGTCAAGCTAGCCACATGGCTCGGGGGTGTGAAAAATTCACACCTAAGCCCCAGGGTAGACAGTGCTAGGTCAATGGAAGAATTCTTCCGTCAACTTAGATACCACCTCTGGGAGAGGTAGATTTACACAATGATGGAAGAGCCCCTTCTGTCGCTGTAGTATGTGTCCACACTACAGCACTGTAACTATGCTACTGTAGCTTTTCTAGCGCAGACATACTCTATGCTCTGTGACTCCCATTCAAGTATTGACCAGCTACTACGGGTTTAAGTGTACTCAACACCTATTACTAGTAAACAATACGCTAAAATAGTAGGGTATTTACAGATTAAAGAAAAGTAGTAACATTTAAAAGTCTAACAGTTCCCACCTGATCCGGGCTCTTCCTGACAGTATATGTGGCTGAACCAGAAGTCATTCCTAAAGAATAAGCATTATTAAGAAATTCCTCTCAGAAATTTTCCACCTGCAGTGTGCTCCTGCCTCTTCAGAACAACGGAAAGGACTCACCCAAACTGTTGGCTTTAAAACTAAAACTAAACATTCTCATTGCCATCCCATATATGTTGTGTTTCCACGGTCACTGTTCCTGATTGGCTGCTTTGATTATTCTATAACACACACAACTCAGAAAATTCTTAGAACGTTGTCACATGATGCAGGACTTCTTTCTTTGTAACATCTGCTTACCTGAAGAAGACTAGAGGACAAAGAAATTCCTTTTGTCATTAAAATTGACAAAGAAAAATTTGTTCACCACAATATTACAGTCTAGGAATACGAAAATAACACAGTAAGATAAACATCTCCCTTGTAATGGCATCACTGAAATGAACTGAGTTTGATTGTCTCAGCTCAGGATGCAGTAGATAGAGTACTTTATTATTATAATTTATTGGAGCAGTGCTATGTTCAGGAAGGACACAAGACCAAGCTAATGAGCAAAGAAGGTGCAGGGCCATGACCCTGACTTCTCTCCTCATCGGCCAATATTTTCAAGGGACATTCTTGACTTAAGATTTCAAAGTGAAATATTCAAAAGTCTGAAGTTGGCAAGTGAATATGTAACCTTAACTCTGCCCACATTATGATACACTCTTTGGTTACATGACCACATACTTTTTTCAAATAAAAATAGAATACTTTTATACAACTTTCGATACACTCATGTAGCATCCCATATTATAGGACAGAGCAGGAATTCTAGAAGGGCTACAACTGTATTAGATGGACAAAATTATACAATTGAGCAACCTTTAAGATTTCAATCATGTACAATTGAGGCCTGTGGAGGGTTTATAGTTGATTTATTTGTAAATGCTGGCTCTGCATATAGTTGGAATTTTTTATTTACTTTAAGAATAATAAAGTAGTACGGATGGAGGAGTAGGTAAAAAATTGAAGGAGTTTTTGTCCCAGATCTTGTAAATCCTGATGGTGAGCCTGTTTGCTTGAGAAGCACATTTTAAACTACCGTAATAATAAATGCTTCTTCTGCAGCATGTCTGTGTCAAAAGAAAACAACATTGCTCATGTGAGAAAATAATTAATTTTTTAGAAAAAAAGTTATCATATGAAACATCAAAGTCACTAGAATCTACTGTGCGTTATATTATTAATATCTTTTCCATGTAAATTAACTTCATCACCTTGCTCATGCACATTTTGCAAGGGCAATGGGGGGATGATGTGTGTGTGCCCCTGCCCTCTCCTCTGGTCAGCCCCCTTCATCCCCCCGACTTCACTGTTTTTCCCCATGTGGACCCTGCTCTGCAAGGCCTGGAGAATGAGGGGGGATGGGGCCATGGAGTCACTTCTTTGATCTCAGCAGCACCTGGTGGGAGCACAGCACTGTTGAAAAATCAAACTCTTTATTTACATACCTAAATATGGATTTAGAAGCCTGATTTCAGGCTCCTAGTTTTGAAAGAGCTTTGCCTCCGTGTTTATAGCATGTGGAAGGTATGGATGGGGTCATCTTGGCCATACTTTGAATGGGATTTGGCAGACAGTTGCTGGAATTGGTGTTGGTAGATGTATCAAATATTATTCAGCCACATATTACTGTGTGGCATTAATATCCTATTATTCAGCAAATGTAATAATGTTTAGTTCTTCCTTTGTCTAATATTTACATCTATCCATAGTTTGTTGTTTACCTTTGACTCCCTCTGCTGGCTCTTCAGTAGCATAACACAAAACTGGTAGATCCTACATCAGTAGTCAGGTTTCAGAGTAGCAGCCGTGTTAGTCTGTATCCGCAAAAAGAACAGGAGTACTTGTGGCACCTTAGAGACTAACAAATTTATTAGAGCATAAACTTTCGTGGGCTACAGCCCACTTCTTCGGATACATCAGTAGTGCATTTTGTGTGTTCATTCTTAATTTCTTGGTGTCAGTGGATATTCGTAAAAGCTTAGATTTTAAGTATGACCTTTCTTATTTTGCCTAGCTTCACAACCCCAAAAGTCTCCCTGACTCACCTTATGGATGACCCTCCTTTATTTCAGATTCCATCAGTCCTGAACTGAAATGATCTTTCTTAGTGAGACACGGTGGGTAAGGTAATATCTTTTATCGGACCAACTTCTATTGGTGAGAGAGACAAATCTTCTTCTGCTCTGTGTGAGCTCAAAAGCTTCTCTCTCTCACCAACAGAAGCTGGTCCAATAAAAGATGTTACCTCACCCACCTTGTCTCTCTAATATCCTGGGACCAACACGGATACAGCAACACTGCATACAACAGTGGATGGTCTTTCTTTGCTTTCTCTCTCCTAGCAGACTCTAGCTATTCTGCTAGATAAGGTAATATATATTTGTTTGTGTTCGGTATTCCATCTCTAGACACTAGTCAGTTTTACCATGCGTTTGTGATCTCTCCAGTACCTTGCTGTAATTATTCTGAAAACTTTGATGTTCAGTCTCAGTTTTGTGAATTTCACACACAAACACATGAAAAAAGCCACTTATTCCCTACATAGAGGACTATATTCAGAGGTGAAAGTAAGCCGGCATGGTCCGGTATGCCGTGCCAGACTGGCCCGGCTTCTCCGGCGCTGATTTAAAGTGCCCAGGGCTCCGGCTGCTGCGGGGAGCCCCAGACCCTTTAAATCACCACCGGAGCCCTGCCGCAGCTACCCCACAGTGGCAGGAGCACCAGGCCCTTTAAATCCCTGCCCAAGCCCGGCTCCCGGCTGCTGCAGGGAGCCCCGGGCCCTTTAAATCCCCAGCAGCCCGGCTCGGGCAGCACTTTAAGGCAGGGCTCTCACGGTGATTTAAAGGGCCTGGAGCTCCATGGCAGCCGGAGCCCCGGGCCCTTTAATTCACCCCAGGGCTCCCAGCCACCTCTGCAGCTGGTAGCTCTGGGGTGATTTAAAGGCCCTGGGGCTCCTAGCCACATCCGGAGCCCCAGGCCTTTAAATCTTGAAAGGCCCCACCTCTTCCGGTTGAGGCCACGCCCCTGCTGAGGACTCCAGCGTACTGGTAAGTTCTTAAAGTTACTTTCACCCCTGACTATATTGTGGGGTTTTAACCCAAGATCGCAGTAGGGATGAGGACTAGGGCCAGGAGCTCCATAGCAGCAGCATTTCTGAAGGGATTATGATGACCCATATTAGGATTTAGCACTCTTAGAAGCTTTGGTCTCACAGGTTGTGAGACAATGCCAGGTTAATTACAAGAGGAAAGTCACAGGAACCGATCCTTATTAAAGAAAGATACACACCTATTTTTCATGTTTAAAATTTTAATGAAAGAGTACAGTTGACACAGAAGGTAACAGATGATAATAGTCAGCAGTTATAGAGTGAAACAAACATTTGCCTCAGCGATAAACCTTTCCAAATGTTTGACAATTAATAGGAATAATCATTTTAAATTCAAAGACACAATTTTATAAAATGCTAAACACCTCCTGAGAGGTGCTGAATGCCTCCAACTCCATTAATTTCAAGGGAGCTGCGGGCATACAGCACCTCAGAGGACTACACCCCTTTATGTGTTTTATTAGTATTCAATGAGTTCAAGTTACTACATGGTTAGTATAATTGTAAGTGGCAAGAGGATCCAAGAGCTCACCAAGGACACAAAAGGCTAAATTCTGCTCCCAGTTACACAGATACAGCTCCTGTGTGAGTGGGAACAGAACTTGGCCCACCCCAAAGGATAAAATCCTGCAGTCAGATTTGCACTTATCTGCAATGAAGATCTCTCTTGGGAGTTATTCATCATATGGGGCCCCAACTGACATCAATGAGAGCTTTTGTGGGGAGGCTTGAACAGGTTTGGACTAGGTTTTGTATGATGTAACATATGGGTCCCCAACCAAGTTCCTGTCAAGTGGGAGGGACCCCTCAGGTCTGATACTTGTTTTCCTGATACTCAACCTTTCCTCGCCTCTGTAAGAATTGAAATTAGAGGCAACTAGTCAAACTAAAAATAAGGAAGCTCTTCACCAATTATACAAATATTAACGTCAGGTATTACACCTTTGGATGGTCGGTGTGGATAAGTTCCACTAGGGATTTGAAAGGAGGTTGCCTGTCTTTGTCCAGGTACCTGATTCTTCTTAAGTGTGGGGCCTCTATGTGGATGGGTCCCAGAGCAGCTGTCCATGCCAAAAGGTCTCTGTGGGCCCCGCCGGTCAATTTCCAAGGAAGATACGCATTGTGGATAAGTTTGGTTTGATCTGTCAGAAGGATGTTTGGACTGGCATGTTTGCCTCTGGCTCTGTGCTACCTGAACTGTTTTTTCTTTTTAGGATACACCTTACTGGCTAGTTTAAGAGACCTGTCATAGAGCAGTAAGAACCCACCCAACAGCAGCAGGAGAACAGATATAAACCCCACAGGAATAGCAGCCCCAACTTTCTGAGACTTTGGAGTGGAAGGCAAGTGGTAAGAAGGAGGGAAGGCAATACTACGATTTTTCATTATGGAATGTAAATTCCAGCTTACTGGAATTAAGATTAAAACACTTGATAAGATGTTCAAGAGCCCCCCAGTTAGAAAAAAGACTAAGATATAGTGTTTCTTAAGCTCTTTCTTATAAACACCCCAAAAAGCAAAGAGGGTGAAACTTATAGCTACTGCTTCCATGATAGTGGCTAACATCAGAAGGTCTTGGGCAACAAAAATTTCTGAGGGGCTGAAGGTGTTCTGAATAGTGAATCTTTGACAGAGCATTAAGGAAGAACCATTGGCAAGTTCAGGGTTAAGAGTAAAGCAGACGTCCCAGATTCCGATCCATATGGTACCGGAGGAGATGATGGTGGTGTTGTCCACATGCCACACTCTCCACTGTATAAGTCCTATTGAAATAACACACAGAATCCAACCTAAAACACTCAAAACAAAACCAAGTAGTGGAATGTGAGAAGTGATGGCCAGGGATTTCACAACCTGGAGATTTTCGACTTCTGTCTCAGCTCTGTCAGGTGCACTATCAGCCATGCAGACAATTGCAGGTTTGCTGAAAAACACCAACATATATACAAGAATATATGGATTGGAGTGCAGGTAGTACACTCACAGCCATCAATCTAGATTTATATACCATGATCATCACTGTAATATCTGAGCTTCTAACCAGAGACACCCCCAATCATTTAGAATTAGTTCGACATTAAAACTTCATTTCCTCAGGGTGTCATGCTGATTCATAAAAGTTGTAGTTCAGGATTTTAATGCCCCCCATTCTCCTCTATGGACTAGGCTCCAAGGCCCAATTACATTTACCTGCAGTCATGTGTCTCCCAGGATGCACCACACAGCTTGATCAGAAGGGAGTTGTTGTCCTCCAGCCAATAGGAGCTCAGCCAATAGGAGAAAAAGGGGAGTCTGAATTACAACTTCCATAAGGCAATGTGACACGATAAGAAAATGCAGTTTAATATTGAAATGACTCAGAATTAAGATCAGTTCACTCAGGTAAGTTAAAAAAACCCAAAATATTCCAATTTGCATAGAACCAACCTGAAACAAAATGTTTTCTTTAGGTTTTCCTGATGGAAAAATAAGAAGGAAAAAAAAGATCAGCAAAATTGAAATTTTCCTGTGGAAAACTGTATTTTCTGTTGTAAAATCATTTTGATGGAAAATTCGCGACATGGTGTACTCAAATGTCAAAAAATGCCAAAGCTAAGTCTACTTGTGTAATCTTGACTTATGATATACAGTGTTATTGAAGTGGTGTTGGTCCCAGAATATGAGAGAGACAAGATAATATCTTTTACTCGCCCAACTTTTGCTGGTGAAAGAGACAATCTTTCAAGCTACACAGAGCTCTTCTTCAGGTTATTATGACAGTCATTATGATATTCATCTAATTTCACCTCACCATTCTATAGATGACTATCGAGTTACTCCTTCCTACATTAATATTCTTTTCATGTATAAACAGTAGAAAAAGCAATTTTAGAACTCTTAAATATCACAATCCACTAGTTAGTCCCTGATCTATTTGCAAAGTGAATTTTGAAGGCAAAATAACCTAAGGTATTGCCTTCTTCACATACAGTATGTGTGTTATGTACAGGAAATTAAGCTACTTACAGTACCTCAATATTGAAGGAAATGCTTATGAAGAAGGGTTGATTGAAACATTTTAAAATATCAGATAGACACAGCATACTCTGGAATGTGATTTCTTGAGTTCCTTACTCCACTTCGTCATTTTCAGATGTAACCTGATAGGCTTCCCATTTCCTGTGGGAAGATGATGAAATATGCATTGGTACTAGTAGAGTTTATCAATTATTTCTTGGGAAAAATTGTTCAAAATATTGTTGCGGCATTTTCATTTTCTGAAAACTAAGGGAAACTAGGGACTGTTAAACTGGTGTTATATTTAAATGCCCATGGCTGAGAAATCAGTCATTTGCAGTTGCTAATGACCACACTAATATTAAGTTCCCATGGGGAATCAAGACTAGGCTAGTTTGTTAAGTTTTCTGAATTTTATATTTGTAAATTGCAGATATGCTTGTGATATGGGAGTGTAATGTGTGACCCTGTTCTCCTTTATGATACTATGTAACTAGTCTATTAATCAATTGACTGATAGCAGAGCTATAAACAAACCAAAGTTGAAGAGCATCTTGATACCTTGGGTCACAATTCTGAAGTCACCATTCCATTAAAGTGGTTAGTTTTCCTTACCGTCATTTCTGCCTTGATTGCCTGATTCTTTTGTGTTTCATGACTTTGGATAATTCAGGCTGGTACGTGGTTTCCTTCACACCTGTCACCAACCAGCCCAGAATAAGGTGGATAGGCAATACCACTCTATCCACTGGAGGGGACAGCAAAAGAGACTCCATTATCTCTGTCTTAGTGGTCTCTATTAAACAAGACAGCCTAAACTATTTTAATAGACAGGGAGAAGGTTGGAATCAAAATTGTAAATTGGGGAGGGGGCAGACTCACAGGGTTTCTCCTTCATTTCCCACTGAGGCACAGAATATTTGAAAAGTGCACCAGCTTGTCTTTCTTGTATCCATATAGAAGCCTTCACCATCCCCATAAGTCTGGATCAGAGCAATAATTTGACACAAATGCCAGACATACCAGCTGTGCCAGAGTAGACATCCAATCCTCTTGTCTTGAAACATTAATGAGTACATCAAATCTGGATGTATGGACACAGATTTTCAGAAAGCCTTTGACAAGGTCCCTTACCAAAGGCTCTTAAGCAAAGTAAGCAGTTGTGGGATAAGAGGGAAGGTGGTCCCATGCATCAGTAAACTAGTTAAAATACAGGAAACAAAGGGAAGAATAAATGGTCAGTTTTCAGAATGGAGAGAGGTAAATAGTGGTGTCCCCAGAGAGCTGTATTAGGACCAGTGCTGGTCAACATATTCATAAAGGATCTGGAAAAAGGATGGTAACTATCTTGAGAAATTTTGTATCATCTGTAATTTTTAAGTCCAAAGTAGACTGTGAAGAATTACAAAGGGATCTCATAAAACTGGGTGACTGGGCAACAGAATGGCAGATGAAATTCACTGTTGATAAATGCAAAATAATGCACATTAGAAAACATAATCCCAACTGTACATACAAAATGATGGGATCTAAATTAGCTGTTATCACTCAGGAAAGAGATCTTGAAGTCATTGTGTATAGTTCTCTGAAAACATCCACTCAATGAGCAGCATCAGTGAAAAAAGCCAACAGAATGTTAAGAACCATTAGAAAAGGGATAGATAATAAGACAGAAAATATCATAATGCCGCTATATAAATCCATGGTATGGTCACACCTTGAATATTGCATGCAATTCTGGTTGTCCCATCTCAAAAAAGATATTTTAGAATTGGAAATGTAGAGAGAAGGGCAACAGAAAATAATTAAGGGTATGGAACAGCTTCTGTTTGAGGAGAGAGTAAAAATATTCAGACTTTTCAGCTTGGAAAAAAGACTCAGGGGCAATATGATAGAGATCTGTAAAATCATTAGTAGAGTGGAGAAAGTGAATAAGGAAGTGTTATTTACTCCTTCACATAACAAAAGAACCCGGGGTCACCCAATGAAATTAATAAGCAGGAGCTTTAAAACAAACAAAATGAAGTACTTCTTCACACAATGCACAGTCCACCTGTGGCAGTAATTGCCAAGGGATGCTGTGAAGGCCACTGTTGGAAGACAGGATACTGGGCTAGATGGGTCATTGGTCTGACCCAGTATGGCCATTCTTATGTTCAGTGATGCTGAAGAACACATGCTGTCAATTGCACTGAGTTTGGTACCAGAACTGTGATTTGATCAGTGAGTTGCAGTGTATATAGTAACTGTTGTGAAAGTGAAGTGGTGAAACAAGTTCAAGCTGTACAATAAGTACTGCTGTGTCCTGAAACCTACAGGCATAGTCCATTGGTGCTGATGCTATTGGGACAAGATTCACTAAAGGTCAGAACCAAATGAGTCCACAAGTTGAGACTATATGTGGCATGAAGCTGCATCTTACCCTCTGAACCTGACTCAAGCACTGCTCTCTTGGTCCACAGGCACCGACTCTGTGGGTGATCCAGGGCTCCAGCACCCACCAAAAAAAAAAAAAGGAGGTGCTCAGCAGGGCCGGCTCAGGCTTTTTTGCCGCCCCAAGTGGCGAAGGAGAAAAAAAAAGCCACGATCGGCGGCACTTCAGCAGCAGCTCAACCACGCCGCTTCATTCCTTGGCGGCAATTCAGCGCTCCGAGAGGGACTGAGGGACCCGCCACCGAATTGCCACCGAAGACCCGGACATGCCGCCCCTTCCCATTGGCCGCCCCAAGCACCTGCTTGCTGCGCTGGTGCCTGGAACCGGCCCTGGTGCTCAGCACCTATCAGCCACAGTCATAGGTGGCACGTGACTCTTGCATTTGGGAAGGCTGGGCAGAAGTGCTGGAAGCTCCCTCGAAGTGTGTGTTGGGGCCCACCGGCACCTGGACTGTGGCCCCACCCCCACTCAGCCTCCTTCCCCCTAGGCTCTGCCTCAACTCCGCCTCTATCCTCGAGACTGCACCTCCATTCCGCCTCTTCCCCTGAGGCACCCTCTACCAAGGCTCCTCTCTGCCCCCTCCCCCGAGATTCTCCCACCCCCTGCTTGCTCCTCTTTGCCTCTTCCCCTGAGGCATCCCTGTCCTCTCCTCTCTGCCCCCTTCCCTGAGGCCCCCCTTGCCCTCTGCTCACTCCTCTCTGCCCCGTCCCTTGAGACCCCTCCAACTAAGATACCAATGATAGACACATACTCAATAATTAGAATATGAAAAGTGTATAGATATGCTGAAAATAGCCTCCCCTCAAAACTGGCATGTCTGTTACAGCTGTCCCCCCATTGGATTCCTTTTTCCCCTTCCTTTCTGTTTGTGCTGAGTGGCCGCCCCCCACTCCCGCCCCCGGCCATGGAACTGACCAAAGTCACAGCCTGGCCCTGCTCATGGAAATGGCTTGTGCAGACTGACTGGAGCCATTGCTCTGCTCAGGGAAGTGGGGAGGTTTTCGCTCCTTTGTCTAGCTTCTTTGTTCGGACTCGGCTGGGTGTAGGGTGCTCTGCCCAGGTATGCAAGACCTAAAGTGGCCACATAGCTGAGCATATGAGTCATACCTGTGACTCAGAACTTGCCCAGACATGTCCTATGCCTACCTGCAAGTTTTCCCTGCCTTCTCTCCTCCCCTGGATTAAGGGGAACCAATCAAAGTTACTGGCGGGAAACTGCCTAAGTTTGCCCTTAAAAACAGACATTTTCTGATCAGACCCCCAGAGAAGGTCCTTGCTTTGCCACCTGGTCTGATCAGCTAGGGGTCTTTGGGGGGCCCTCTCCCCGCTCTCATTTGTTTTTGAGCGTACCCCCGTTTTTAAACTCCCCTCCCACGAACAACGAATTTGTGCCTGGAGATCTCCTGATTATTGTAAGCGAATCGAGCCCTCTCTGCGTCCTCTGATGCTGAAACTGCTGTTCCTGCTGCTGCTTTGGGGATTGGTAAGGAAAAACCTCTTGCACACTCCCCTTGTTCTGGCTGCTGGCTTCCTTTCCCAAGCAGGCAGACCGAAGCTAACTCTTTGGTCTGTATCTGTAATCTGCTTCTAGAAATAAACCTGCTTGCAGCCACCACTAGTTAATCCCCCTCCCCCCCTTGAAGCTGTATGCTGGGCACACACGACTCTGCCCTCTGGAACTGTCCCTAGTATAAGGTGCACCCATTAGGTTAGATTTAGCCTTTAGTCTAGATAAATTGTAATTTCATTTTGCATAGTTGTGGTTAAGTTAGATTTAGAAAATTGTTTGCATTGTACTCTGTAAGTTAGGCTTAAAGAATTGTTGCATTGTGTTTTGTTACTTGCTAATTTGTGTAGTCTTGG